TTCAAGATTTTTTTTTTATTGCCTTGTAGAATTAAAAACTTAAACCTTGTATACTAATAAAATATGGATTATTAGCTAAGATTTTATGCTATTCTAATTGAAATAACATAAACAAAAAAGTAGTTTAATAAAATTTTGAATATAAGACACTAAAATCTGTGGCATGCGCAGTAAAGGATACCTGTGGTTATAGGGTTAATAGAAGTGTTTATAAGCCCAAGGATGTTCAGTTGTTTGTTATTATTTTGGACACATTTGTATGATAAAGATGATTAACATTTTTTAAAAAATCATACTGTATATCAAATTTTATATACATATAAAAATGGTGCTATGTTAGGGATAAAAAAAAGTATGAATCCTATATAGCAAGTATAGTGTAACAGTAAGAAAGCTCCAGTTTGTGGCTTTTTTGCTAAAGTCATTTAGATAAGGTATACATTTATATTTAATCTTATTTAAAAGTGATTGCTGAGCAGATCTGAGAATATGATGTTACCTTCAACCAGTGTAAGGTCAGAATTGTACCCCTATAAAACTAGTGTGACTTTTTTGTGAATCTTACAGTCTTATGGCCTTTTGATGTTCCCTTTTTTCTTTGAGACTTAGCACTGTCAATTTGTCTAATGCTTCATTATAATTATTCTTGCTTAATATTATCTTTCTCTCAGTATATCCTTGGAACGTCACAGAGCTGAAATTAGAAGGGCTGTGAATGATGAGAGACTTAACACCATTGCTGACAGGTATACGTATCTTTTTTTTACTAATTTTGTTTTCCTTGAAAATAATTTTAGTTTTTACCTATTTTAGATGAAAGGAGAGCCAGAGTTTTTGGTCATGTCAGTGGTTATTGAAAAAATTTAGTGTCTGATGAAACTCAATTCTTTAGCTGAAATGTCATACATTCTGCCAGTAGAAATGATATGCCCAAATAATTTGGAGCATAGGTTATTGAATTGTGCTGGAACAAATTATGAAACTGTTGCTCAAATAAAGTTTACGTTTATAGAAAATTATGTTGCACTTGTTAAATCATATTTGTTTTAATTGCTATCACTTATTGCTTATGGGTTGGTAACCGAAAATAAGATTTAAAAAATATTTAGTGTCTTGAAAGTAATATATGTGGGTTATCATAATTTGAATTATAAGTATAATTTGGATGGGAAGTACCTTAATAGTGTTATGAAGGAAAGGGATCTTGATGTTATAGTCAGTCAGTTTCTAAAGCCATCCAAACAGTGTGCTGTTGCTAGTGGTAGTGCGAATAAGATTTTAGGTTGTATCTATAGAAATA